CCGGGACTGCAGCTCCAGTCCCACCCCAGCTGGGACTGCAGCTCCAGTCCCACCCAAGCTGGGACTGCAGCTCCAGTCCCACCCCAGCTGGGACTGCAGCTCCAGTCCCACCCCAGCTGGGACTGCAGCTCCAGTCCCACCCCAGCTGGGACTGCAGCTCCAGTCCCACCCCAGCTGGGACTGCAGCTCCAGTCCCACCCCAGCTGGGACTGCAGCTCCAGTCCCACCCCAGCTGGGACTGCAGCTCCAGTCCCACCCAAACTGGGACTGCAGCTCCAGTCCCACCCAAGCTGGGACTGCAGCTCCAGTCCCACCCCAGCTGGGACTGCAGCTCGTGTCCCACCCCAGCTGGGACTGCAGCTCCAGTCCCACCCCAGCTGGGACTGCAGCTCCAGTCCCACCCCAGCTGGGACTGCAGCTCCAGTCCCACCCAAGCTGGGACTGCAGCTCCAGTCCCACCCAAGCTGGGACTGCAGCTCGTGTCCCACCCCAGCTGGGACTGCAGCTCCAGTCCCACCCCAGCTGGGACTGCAGCTCCAGTCCCACCCCAGCTGGGACTGCAGCTCCAGTCCCACCCCAGCTGGGACTGCAGCTCCAGTCCCACCCCAGCTGGGACTGCAGCTCCAGTCCCACCCAAGCTAGGACTGCAGCTCCAGTCCCACCCAAGCTGGGGCTGCAGCTCCAGTCCCACCCCAGCTGGGACTGCAGCTCCAGTCCCACCCAAGCTGGGACTGCAGCTCCAGTCCCACCCAAGCTGGGACTGCAGCTCCAGTCCCACCCAAGCTGGGACTGCAGCTCCAGTCCCACCCCAGCTGGGACTGCAGCTCCAGTCCCACCCAAGCTGGGACTGCAGCTCCAGTCCCACCCCAGCTGGGACTGCAGCTCCAGTCCCGCCCCAGCTGGGACTGCAGCTCCAGTCCCACCCCAGCCGGGACTGCAGCTCCAGTCCCACCCCAGCTGGGACTGCAGCTCCAGTCCCACCCAAGCTGGGACTGCAGCTCCAGTCCCACCCAAGCCGGGACTGCAGCTCCAGTCCCACCCAAGCCGGGACTGCAGCTCCAGTCCCACCCAAGCCGGGACTGCAGCTCCAGTCCCACCCAAGCTGGGACTGCAGCTCCAGTCCCACCCAAGCTGGGACTGCAGCTCCAGTCCCACCCAAGCTGGGACTGCAGCTCCAGTCCCACCCAAGCTGGGACTGCAGCTCCAGTCCCACCCCAGCTGGGACTGCAGCTCCAGTCCCACCCAAGCTGGGACTGCAGCTCCAGTCCCACCCAAGCTGGGACTGCAGCTCCAGTCCCACCCAAGCCGGGACTGCAGCTCCAGTCCCACCCAAGCCGGGACTGCAGCTCCAGTCCCACCCCAGCCGGGACTGCAGCTCCAGTCCCACCCCAGCCGGGACTGCAGCTCCAGTCCCACCCAAGCTGGGACTGCAGCTCCAGTCCCACCCCAGCTGGGACTGCAGCTCCAGTCCCACCCCAGCTGGGACTGCAGCTCCAGTCCCACCCAAGCCGGGACTGCAGCTCCAGTCCCACCCAAGCCGGGACTGCAGCTCCAGTCCCACCCAAGCCGGGACTGCAGCTCCAGTCCCACCCAAGCTGGGACTGCAGCTCCAGTCCCACCCAAGCTGGGACTGCAGCTCCAGTCCCACCCAAGCCGGGACTGCAGCTCCAGTCCCACCCAAGCCGGGACTGCAGCTCCAGTCCCACCCAAGCCGGGACTGCAGCTCCAGTCCCACCCCAGCCGGGACTGCAGCCTCAGTCCCACCCCAGCCGGGACTGCAGCTCCAGTCCCACCCAAGCTGGGACTGCAGCTCCAGTCCCACCCCAGCTGGGACTGCAGCTCCAGTCCCACCCCAGCTGGGACTGCAGCTCCAGTCCCACCCAAGCCGGGACTGCAGCTCCAGTCCCACCCAAGCCGGGACTGCAGCTCCAGTCCCACCCAAGCCGGGACTGCAGCTCCAGTCCCACCCAAGCCGGGACTGCAGCTCCAGTCCCACCCAAGCCGGGACTGCAGCTCCAGTCCCACCCAAGCCGGGACTGCAGCTCCAGTCCCACCCAAGCCGGGACTGCAGCTCCAGTCCCACCCAAGCCGGGACTGCAGCTCCAGTCCCACCCCAGCCGGGACTGCAGCTCCAGTCCCACCCCAGCTGGGACTGCAGCTCCAGTCCCACCCCAGCTGGGACTGCAGCTCCAGTCCCACCCAAGCTGGGACTGCAGCTCCAGTCCCACCCCAGCTGGGACTGCAGCTCCAGTCCCACCCCAGCTGGGACTGCAGCTCCAGTCCCACCCCAGCTGGGACTGCAGCTCCAGTCCCACCCCAGCTGGGACTGCAGCTCCAGTCCCACCCAAGCTGGGACTGCAGCTCCAGTCCCACCCAAGCTGGGACTGCAGCTCCAGTCCCACCCAAGCTGGGACTGCAGCTCCAGTCCCACCCAAGCTGGGACCGCAGCTTCAGTCCCACCCCAGCTGGGACTGCAGCTCGTGTCCCACCCCAGCTGGGACTGCAGCTCCAGTCCCACCCCAGCTGGGACTGCAGCTCCAGTCCCACCCCAGCTGGGACTGCAGCTCCAGTCCCACCCAAGCTGGGACTGCAGCTCCAGTCCCACCCAAGCTGGGACTGCAGCTCGTGTCCCACCCCAGCTGGGACTGCAGCTCCAGTCCCACCCAAGCTGGGACTGCAGCTCCAGTCCCACCCAAGCTGGGACTGCAGCTCGTGTCCCACCCCAGCTGGGACTGCAGCTCCAGTCCCACCCCAGCTGGGACTGCAGCTCCAGTCCCACCCCAGCTGGGACTGCAGCTCCAGTCCCACCCCAGCTGGGACTGCAGCTCCAGTCCCACCCCAGCTGGGACTGCAGCTCCAGTCCCACCCAAGCTAGGACTGCAGCTCCAGTCCCACCCAAGCTGGGACTGCAGCTCCAGTCCCACCCCAGCTGGGACTGCAGCTCCAGTCCCACCCAAGCTGGGACTGCAGCTCCAGTCCCACCCAAGCTGGGACTGCAGCTCCAGTCCCACCCAAGCTGGGACTGCAGCTCCAGTCCCACCCCAGCTGGGACTGCAGCTCCAGTCCCACCCAAGCTGGGACTGCAGCTCCAGTCCCACCCCAGCTGGGACTGCAGCTCCAGTCCCGCCCCAGCTGGGACTGCAGCTCCAGTCCCACCCCAGCCGGGACTGCAGCTCCAGTCCCACCCCAGCTGGGACTGCAGCTCCAGTCCCACCCCAGCTGGGACTGGAGCTCCAGTCCCACCCCAGCTGGGACTGCAGCTCCAGTCCCACCCAAGCCGGGACTGCAGCTCCAGTCCCACCCAAGCCGGGACTGCAGCTCCAGTCCCACCCAAGCTGGGACTGCAGCTCCAGTCCCACCCAAGCTGGGACTGCAGCTCCAGTCCCACCCAAGCTGGGACTGCAGCTCCAGTCCCACCCAAGCTGGGACTGCAGCTCCAGTCCCACCCCAGCTGGGACTGCAGCTCCAGTCCCACCCAAGCTGGGACTGCAGCTCCAGTCCCACCCAAGCTGGGACTGCAGCTCCAGTCCCACCCAAGCTGGGACTGCAGCTCCAGTCCCACCCAAGCCGGGACTGCAGCTCCAGTCCCACCCAAGCCGGGACTGCAGCTCCAGTCCCACCCCAGCCGGGACTGCAGCTCCAGTCCCACCCCAGCCGGGACTGCAGCTCCAGTCCCACCCAAGCTGGGACTGCAGCTCCAGTCCCACCCCAGCTGGGACTGCAGCTCCAGTCCCACCCCAGCCGGGACTGCAGCTCCAGTCCCACCCAAGCCGGGACTGCAGCTCCAGTCCCACCCAAGCCGGGACTGCAGCTCCAGTCCCACCCAAGCCGGGACTGCAGCTCCAGTCCCACCCAAGCTGGGACTGCAGCTCCAGTCCCACCCAAGCCGGGACTGCAGCTCCAGTCCCACCCAAGCCGGGACTGCAGCTCCAGTCCCACCCAAGCCGGGACTGCAGCTCCAGTCCCACCCAAGCCGGGACTGCAGCTCCAGTCCCACCCCAGCCGGGACTGCAGCTCCAGTCCCACCCCAGCCGGGACTGCAGCTCCAGTCCCACCCAAGCTGGGACTGCAGCTCCAGTCCCACCCCAGCTGGGACTGCAGCTCCAGTCCCACCCCAGCTGGGACTGCAGCTCCAGTCCCACCCAAGCCGGGACTGCAGCTCCAGTCCCACCCAAGCCGGGACTGCAGCTCCAGTCCCACCCAAGCCGGGACTGCAGCTCCAGTCCCACCCAAGCCGGGACTGCAGCTCCAGTCCCACCCAAGCCGGGACTGCAGCTCCAGTCCCACCCAAGCCGGGACTGCAGCTCCAGTCCCACCCAAGCCGGGACTGCAGCTCCAGTCCCACCCAAGCCGGGACTGCAGCTCCAGTCCCACCCCAGCCGGGACTGCAGCTCCAGTCCCACCCCAGCTGGGACTGCAGCTCCAGTCCCACCCCAGCTGGGACTGCAGCTCCAGTCCCACCCAAGCTGGGACTGCAGCTCCAGTCCCACCCCAGCTGGGACTGCAGCTCCAGTCCCACCCCAGCTGGGACTGCAGCTCCAGTCCCACCCCAGCTGGGACTGCAGCTCCAGTCCCACCCCAGCTGGGACTGCAGCTCCAGTCCCACCCAAGCTGGGACTGCAGCTCCAGTCCCACCCAAGCTGGGACTGCAGCTCCAGTCCCACCCAAGCTGGGACTGCAGCTCCAGTCCCACCCAAGCTGGGACTGCAGCTCCAGTCCCACCCCAGCTGGGACTGCAGCTCGTGTCCCACCCCAGCTGGGACTGCAGCTCCAGTCCCACCCCAGCTGGGACTGCAGCTCCAGTCCCACCCCAGCTGGGACTGCAGCTCCAGTCCCACCCAAGCTGGGACTGCAGCTCCAGTCCCACCCAAGCTGGGACTGCAGCTCGTGTCCCACCCCAGCTGGGACTGCAGCTCCAGTCCCACCCCAGCTGGGACTGCAGCTCCAGTCCCACCCCAGCTGGGACTGCAGCTCCAGTCCCACCCCAGCTGGGACTGCAGCTCCAGTCCCACCCCAGCTGGGACTGCAGCTCCAGTCCCACCCAAGCTGGGACTGCAGCTCCAGTCCCACCCAAGCTAGGACTGCAGCTCCAGTCCCACCCAAGCTGGGACTGCAGCTCCAGTCCCACCCCAGCTGGGACTGCAGCTCCAGTCCCACCCAAGCTGGGACTGCAGCTCCAGTCCCACCCAAGCTGGGACTGCAGCTCCAGTCCCACCCAAGCTGGGACTGCAGCTCCAGTCCCACCCCAGCTGGGACTGCAGCTCCAGTCCCACCCAAGCTGGGACTGCAGCTCCAGTCCCACCCCAGCTGGGACTGCAGCTCCAGTCCCGCCCCAGCTGGGACTGCAGCTCCAGTCCCACCCCAGCTGGGACTGCAGCTCCAGTCCCACCCCAGCGGGGACTGCAGCTCCGTCCCACCCAAGCCGGGACTGCAGCTCCAGTCCCACCCCAGCTGGGACTGCAGCTCCAGTCCCACCCCAGCTGGGACTGCAGCTCCAGTCCCACCCCAGCTGGGACTGCAGCTCCAGTCCCACCCCAGCTGGGACTGCAGCTCCAGTCCCACCCCAGCTGGGACTGCAGCTCCAGTCCCACCCAAGCTGGGACTGCAGCTCCAGTCCCACCCAAGCTGGGACTGCAGCTCCAGTCCCACCCCAGCTGGGACTGCAGCTCCAGTCCCACCCAAGCAGCAGCAGCTGATTGGGAAGGTATGAGCGGGCGGTGCAGCGTATGAGCGGGCGGTGCAGCGTATGAGCGGGCGGTGCAGCGTATGAGCGGGCGGTGCAGCGTATGAGCGTGCGGTGCAGCGTATGAGCGGGCGGTGCTGTGTATTGGCGTGCGGTGCATTGTATGAGCGTGCGGTGCAGTGTATGAGCGTGCGGTGCAGCGTATGGGCGTGTGGTGCAGTGCGGTGCAGTGTCGAGCTGCCTCCTCTGCCCAGCAGGTGCAGGCTCATGTGTGCGTCCGTCACACAGATACAGATGTGTGCCGCACTCGATCCCCCCTGCATCATGTCACCATCTCGCACACACACACGTTTTTTCATGCCTTTCCCCCACGCTCCCTAAGCCTTGCTCATCTCTCATCACTGTCTGTGCTATTCCCTTCACCCCTCACCCCTCATCCCGCTGCCATTCCCACCACTTCCATCACCCTCAGGCGCTCATCTCTGTGAAGCGCCTGGAGGCGTTTCTCTGCATCCCCACGCCACCCACTGCTGCCCCCCTCGCCTCTGCCTTCGCCCCCCCCCCCCACCGCCTCATCCCCTCCCACTGCTCCTGTTCCTACCACTCCACCTGCCGCCAGCAGCACCACCACCGGGTATCACAACTGCAGTCTGCTGCGCTCGCTCTTCCCCTTTCTCCTCCGCCTCCCCTCCTCGCCCCTGCCCCGCCACGCTTCCCCCTCCCCCTCGCCTCTCACAGCCCCCCTGCTGCGCCCCGCCCCTGCCCTGGTGAATCAGGACGGAGCCTCACAGGCGTCTGATTGTGCGGCTGATGGTGACACAGGTGGTGCTGCAGGGGGTGGTGCTGGGGGGGGTGCAGCAGAGGCTGCTCGCCTTCCACACCCCCTTCCTGCCACAGATACCACCTGTGCAGCCAGTCCGTCCCCGCCACTAGCAGTGCACATGTGCGGGCTCAGCTTCTCCTGGCGTGCTCCCGCCACCGCCACCAGCAAGGCTGCCAGCGCGGCGACTGGGGAAAGTGTGGAAGAGGACAGTGCAGCTGTGCAGGAGGGCAGTGGAAGCAGGTCCACAAGAGGGAATAGCAGAGGGAGCGGCATTGCTTTGCACTGCATACGCCTGGACGTGCCAGAAGGGGCTGTCGTCGCCATCGTGGGCAAGGTGACCCCCTCCCTCCCACCATGCCCTCTCCCCGTGCTCTCACTATTCCATATTGTATCTACGCTCTCACTATGCTCACAGCAGCTGTACTACTTCACGTGCCGCCTACACCATAAGCGTCCCCTCCTCCTGCATGTCACCATGCTCATCTGGACTCCTGCTTTCATGCTCTCTCCTATCCCGCCTCTTCCCGCACGCTTGCAGGTGGGCAGTGGCAAGTCGTCACTGCTCGCTGCAATCCTGGGAGAGATGCAACCCGTGCCAACGCACACCATGCCGTGCACACATGCACATGGTGCAGCAGGGCTTGGAAATGCGCGTCCACATGGCGTGCATCGCTCGCCCCGCTCTGCTGCTGTCCTGCAGGTGCGCCTCTTTCCCACTGCTTTCGCACTTTGTGCTCGCTGCATGCTGCTTGCTCCCACCACTGCTATGCTCAACTTCTTGCTGTCTTGAGCCGCCCCTCACCTGCTCCTTCCCCGCCCTAACTGCTTCTCCCCACCCTCCCTGCTCTGTGCACCAGGAGCCGTGGGTGTTTGCAGGCAGCATTCGAGACAATGTGCTGTTTGGGGCGCCATGGGACCCCATCAGGTGGGGTAGGGGCGCCATGGGACCCCATCAGGTGGGGTAGGGGCGCCATGGAACCCCATCAGGTGGGGTAGGGGCGCCATGGGACCTTATCAGGTGGGGCTGGGGACAGAGAGGGCGAGGAGGGCAATGGAGGGAATGAAATGGTGTGGTGCTGTGGCAATGCATGATGCTGCCTTGGCACGTGCTTTCATGGACAGTGCATGATGCCTAAGTGTAGTATGGAGAGCGCATGGCATGTGCATGAGTGAAGATGAGTCATTGCTGCATCATGCTATCGTGCCACCATGGATTACGCTAGCAGACCACCAGCCATGTCACCATGCGTCTCACACCCCCCAGGTACCAGCAGGTGCTGCATGCATGTGCACTGCACGAGGACACGGCAGCCATGGCAGGGGGAGGCTAGTCACTCTTCCATCCCACTGTCGTCATCACGTCACCACATCCCTCACCCCTCCTGTCCCAGGTACCAGCAGGTGATGCATGCATGTGCACTGCACGAGGACACGGCAGCCATGGCAGGGGGCAACGAGGCCGGGGTGGCGGACAGAGGGCTCACCCTCTCAGGCGGCCAGCGCGCCCGCCTTGCCCTCGCCAGGTGCGCCCTGAAAGCATTCGTGTCAGTTGACTTGTTTGACACGTCTCAAAGCCCCTCACATGCACAGAAGGGTGTATCACTGTATGTCCGTAAATCCCTCCATTCTTCTCCCCGGCTCCTCTCGTTACCCCTACCCGATTCAACAATTCAACACTGTATGGCACAATTCAACACCCGCCATCAGAGCGCTCTACTCCGATGCCACCCTGTTGCTGCTCGATGACCCGCTGTCAGCGCTGGATGCCCGCGTGGCACGCCACGTCAGCAACGCCGCCCTGTTCGGGCCAATCGCCAGAGGCCGCACCATCCTGCTCTGCACCCACTCGCCCCCGGTACTCCCACTCGCCCCGGGTATACCCACCCGCCCTCCCTTCCAGCTGCTGCTCTCGAAGCCTTGTTCTGTCCCCTCTGCACAGCAGCATTCTCACACACCCCTGCACTGCACCCCTCCTCCTTCTTCCTGCCCCACTAGCCTCCCTCTGTGTGTGTGCGTGCTGGCAGGCAGTGCAGCGATCATCGCTGGTGGTGGCGATGCAGCACGGCAGGATCGTGCACGCGGCACCTCCTGCTGCCCGCGTGCCCGCTCTCATGCTTGGGAATCGTGTCGTGGATAGTGATGATACATGCATGAATGATGGCGAATGCATGGATGCAGACACATGCGGTCTGCTGGTGAGGCTGCTGGGGGAGCAGCAAGGGGAGCAGGATGAGGAGAAAGGGGGGCAGGAGTGCGAGGGCGAAGGCAGGCAATGTGGGAGGAATGGGCATGGGGAAGGGGAAGGGGCTGCTGCAGCGAGGGAGGAGGCAGGGCAAGCTGATGGGAAAGTACTGGACTGTTCCACCAAGGAAGGCCATGGTGTGAGCGGTGTGGATGGTGCCACTGCTGGTGCTGCCAGTGAGGAAAGCAGGCAGGAGGACGGGGCCCCGTGTGCAGAGGAGCCAGACAGGGAAGGCCGGGGATGCAGCGGCGAGGGGAAGGGGCAGGCGGGTGCAGCGTTAGAGGAGGAGGAGAGGAGGGAGGCGGGATCGGTGCGGCTCTCAGTATACCGGTGCGTGCCGATGCTCCCCGCCCTCTCTGCCGCCCCTCCCAGTGGTGCATGCAAATGCTCTCAAATGCAAACTCAACACCTCCTGCCATCAACTCAAGCAGCCGCCCCTGCCCTCTTGTCGCTTTCCCCTCCTTCCCCCGTTTTGTGTCACCCCCATCTCAGGAGGTACTGTGCGGCGGTGGGGTGGCCGCTGCTGGCGCTGGTGCTGGCGAGTCTGGCGCTCATGCAGGGCTCTCGCAACGCTGCTGACGTCACGCTCTCCCTTTGGACCGATGCGGTGCAACACGGTGAGCAGCAGTGCAACTGTCATTGGTGTTAGGGTGCTAGCTCATCGTGTTTGTTAGAATCTATATATTATAGCATGCGAACACTTGTGACTGTACACCAAGAGTGGTGTACAGTTGGGTTGGTTCAGGCTCTAGTTTTGGGTGTACTGCGGGAAGACACCCTAATTGGGGTGAACCCAAATATCCTAGCTTAGACTTGACTCCAACCTTGTTGGCCAAGTGGGGCAACCAACTTTGGTTGGTTGGCCACCATCCCACTAGGGTTGGTTGGATGGTCCTTCCTCCCACTAGCCTACTTGGTCTTGGTGTCTTATGTGCTAGGTTTGGTGTTCCTCTCCAACCTTCTCTTCCTTGTATAACCTTGTGCTCTCTTGAGCTAATGTTAACAATTCTTCCTCAAGTTTCCATAGCTCCTAGTTTCTTTCATGGTATCAGAGCCTAAGGCAAACGCCATAGATCCTAGGCCTACTCAACAAGTATTACCTTTTTTTTTTACATCTCCCACCTTCTCGTCGCGTAATTCCTTCCTTCAGTCGCGCCGGTCAAGTTCACCGTGCGAAATCCTTCCCTGCAGTCCGCACGGCCACATTTCACCGTGCGAAATCCTTCCCTGCAGTCCGCACGGCCACATTTCACCGTGCGAAATCCTTCCCTGCAGTCCGCACGGCCACATTTCACCGTGCGAAATCCTTCCCTGCAGTCGCACGGCCACATTTCACCGTGCGAAATCCTTCCCTGCAGTCCGCACGGCTACATTTCACCGTGCGAAATCCTTCCCTGCAGTCCGCACGGCCACATTTCACCGTGGGAAATCCTTCCCTGCAGTCCGCACGGCCACATTTCACCGTGCGAAATCCTTCCCTGCAGTCGCACGGCTTCATTTGACCGTCGCGAAGTACCTCCCTGCAGTCGCACGGCTCTGTTAGACCGTCGCGTCACCTCTGCAGTCAGCCGCGGAGACCCCTCTGACCGTCGCGTCACCTCTGCAGGCAGCCGCGGAGACCCCTCTGACCGTCGCGTCACCTCTGCAGGCAGCCGCGGAGACCCCTCTGACCATCGCGTCACCTCTGCAGGCAGCCGCGGAGACCCCTCTGACCGTCGCGTCACCTCTGCAGGCAGCCGCGGAGACCCCTCTGACCGTCGCGTCACCTCTGCAGTCAGCCGCGGAGACCCCTCTGACCGTCGCGTCACCTCTGCAGTCAGCCGCGGAGACCCCTCTGACCGTCGCGTCACCTCTGCAGTCAGCCGCGGAGACCCCCCTGACCGTCGCGTCACCTCTGCAGGCAGCCGCGGAGACCCCTCTGACCGTCGCGTCACCTCCGCAGTCAGCCGCAGAGACCCCTCTGACCGTCGAGCAGCAGCGTGACTGGACAGCAGCAGCAGCGTGACTGGACAGCAGCAGCAGCGTGACTGGACAGCAGCAGCAGCGTACTGGACAGCAGCAGCAGCGTGACTGGACAGCAGCAGCAGCGTGACTGGACAGCAGCAGCAGCGTGACTGGACAGCAGCAGCAGCGTGACTGGACAGCAGCAGCAGCGTGACTGGACAGCAGCAGCAGCGTGACTGGACAGCAGCAGCAGCGTGACTGGACAGCAGCAGCGGCAGAGCTGAACGGTGGCAGCAGGACTCGTGACAGGAGCGACAGTCATGGCGACTGACTCCGTGCCTATTGACACCGGATCCATCGTTCGCCTCGAGGTCCAGGACGGCACTACCGCACTGAATTGGCACCGTTTCTCACAGAGCCTCACCGGCGTCCTCCGCTCCACCATTGTGGGCGGCTTTAACCTCTACTCCGTTGTCTTCGCTGAACCGGATGGCCTTGGGCCCACCCCACCTCCCCTCCTTGGTCTTGAACCTCCTCCTCCTCCACCCCATCCTGGCGAAGCACCTCGCCCGCCCGGTCTCCCTCGCCTCGTTTCTGACAACACCACCAATGCCTCGCGCCTCACCACCTACGCGGAGGAGGTGGCGACACACACGTGACTGGTGGATACCCACAAGGCAGCCCTTGCTGCTCACACCACGGCCACTGCCCTTCAAGCGCAGTACGCTGCTGATCAGACGTCGTACACCTCCCAGCTGACTGATTTCAAGTCTCGCCATGCCGCCTGGTGCATTGCCGACACTCGGGCTATCGGCCTCATCAACTCCTGCATCCCGACCTCGCTCCAAAGCGAGCTTGATGCCACTTCCTCTGCAGTTCTCTGGCGCGCTCTCTGTGACTTGTATGACCGCCGGGACATGGCATCTCTCCATGCCCTCTACCGTGACTTCAACGCTATCACCCTTGACAACTGCACCGGCGCAGCTGACTATACCCGTCGCCTCAACAACACGGCTCGGCGTCTTCAGGAGCGTGGGGCCACTATTGATGACCCCCTTCTCATTTGGCGCATCCTCGAAGGACTCACCCCGGCCTATGAGATGCACCGCATCGCCTACGACACTGTTCTCTCTCCCCACGCCACGGCTGCCGACGTCACCACATGGGTCCTTGATAATGAAGCCAAGCTTACCCGCCAGTCCCCCTCCACCCTCAACTTCACACAGGGACGCGGAGGACGTGGGGGGCGTGGTGGCAAGGGTCGTGGTGGGGGAAGTGGCGGAGGCGGTGGTGGTCGAGGTGGAGGGGCTGGCGGTGGCGCTACAGGTGGGACGTCGGGAGGTGATGGGGGTGCTGGTCGCGGTGGACGCTCAGGGGGTTTCCCTCCTTGCTCCTATGTCATTCGACAGGGCCCCAACAAGGGCCACCGCTGCAACCAAACCACCCATCCTGCTGAAACCTGCTTCAAGGCCCTAAGTGATGAGTGGTTTGCTCGGGGCAACACAGGTACCCCTCCTCGCTGGACCACTGTTACCCCTCGCCCCACTGTTCATGACGTTCGAACACTTCCCGCCTATCAGCCACCACCTTCTCAGCTCCACCAGACTCTGGCAAGTCACCTGCCTCCCCACCTCCTGCACCAGGTACAAGTCTTTCTTCCCCCCCTTCCAGATCTGCAGCCTCAGCAGCAGCAGCAGCAGATGCACCCGGGGTTCCAGGGCCTTCCGCCTATGCAGCCGCAGTACCTGGGGCCACAGCATCACCCGGGATTCCTGGGTCCCCCCCTCCTCCCTTATCCTCCCCAGCCACAGCAGCCCTTTCTCCAGCAGCAGCCATACTCTGGCTACCCCTCGGCCCCCCCCCAGTGTCTCTGACACCCAAGGCAGTTTCCTTGGTCATGTTACCGTTGCACCCTCCGTCGCTTCCATGTATCCCTCTGCTATTAATGAGACGCTTTTCCAGTACTCCGTGTCACCTCCCCCTCTTTCCTCCCCCACCTTGGACTTTGTCCTTGATAGTGGGGCCACAGAAACCGCACTGAAGGATGCTGGCACCCTCACTCCCCTTCCTCTTCCCACTCAGGTTCACGGTGCAGACACCAGTTTTTCCATCCCATGCACTCACCTCTCCACTCTACCTTGCACCGCTTTCCCATCTGGTACAGTCACAGGTCTCCACATCCCCACCCTTCGCAACAATCTCCTCTCCCACCGTGAGATACAAGGTGCTGGTATTACCGCTATTTACCCTGGTAATGCTTCTTACTGTGATCTCTACAACACTGCTTCTGGTCGCTTCCTCCTACGCATTCCCCTTTGTCCTCGCACTCGCCTTTACACGCTCCGCACACCTCGTCCCTCCTTTTGTCAGGTCACCACTCGTGCTGGCACTTCCACCGGCCCCCCTCCCCCTCCCCCTACCCCTCCCCCCCAGGTATCCTCCTCCCCTACGTCATCCCCCTCATCCTCCTCCCCCTCTCCTTCCCCCACCCCATCCCCCTCTTCCTCTACTCACCTCTCCCACCCTGCTGTGCTCTTGCATCACAGATTAGGCCACCCAAACTTCGCTGCACTTCGCACTGCCATCACATCCCGCCTCCTCGACAGCCTCCCCCCCACTCTTCCTCCCCTCCCTTCCTCCCCCGCACCCCCATGCCCATCCTGCATTCATGGCAAACTCAAACAGTCTCCCCATCACAGCCATCCCACATTCGCAGCTGCTCCCCTTGACCTTGTTCACATGGACCTGTGGGGCCCCTATCCCATCCGCTCTCGCCAGGGGCACCGGTACATGCTCGTCCTCGTCGACGACCACAGTCGGTACTCTACTGTCTTCTTCCTTCACACGAAGGATCAAGTGCCGGCTGTGGTCATTGCCTGGGCTGAGCAGTGCCTCACACACTTTAAACGCCCCATCAGCCGCCTTCACTCTGATGGTGGGGGTGAGTTCCTCAATCATACCCTCGCCACTTACTGCAAAACCCGCGGCATTCAGCAGACCCACACCCTCCCCCATTCCCCTCAGCAGAACGGCATCGCTGAGAGTCGCATTCGTGAGATCACCAAGATTGCTCGTTGCCTTCTTGCTCACGCCTCCACCCCTCCTTCCCTCTGGAGCTATGCCCTCCTCCATGCTGCCCTCCTCCTTAATCTCCGCTCCCACCCTCAGCAGTCCTCCTCCTCCCCCACAGAACTTTGGTCTAAGGCCAAGCCTGACGCTGCTGGCCTTCGCGTTTGGGGCTGCAAGGCGTTCGTCCTCATCCCTCCGGCCGATCGCTCCCGCGCTACTGGCAAGCTCGCCCCTCGCGCTCTGGAGTGCGTCTACCTTGGGCACAATCGCGATTCCCCAGGCTACCTATTCCTCCACCCTCCCACCAATCGCCTCATCCGCAGCATTGACGTCGTCTTCGACGAGTCCACTCCCTACTACTCCACTCCTCCTCCTGACCCTCTCCCTCCTCCCACTCGCCCCCTCGCTTGGACCGACACCGTCCTCCTGCCTCTTCTCCCTCCAGCGCATCTCCTCCCCCCTGTCACCGCCCCGCTCCCGCCTTCCTCCTCTGCCGACGTCTACGACCCTGCTGCACCCGCCTCCCCCGCTCACTCAGCTGCACCCCCTCCCCCCTCTCCCTCCTCTCATTCTCCCCCTTTACAGCAGCCGGATCAACAGCAGCAGCAGCAGCAGCACCAGCAGCAGGGGCAGCAGCTGCAGCAGCAGCAGCAGCAGCCGGAGCAACGACAGCAGCAGCAGCGGGGGCAGCAGCAGCAGCAGCAGCCGGGGCAGCAGCAGCAGCAGCAACCCGGACAGCAGCAGCAGCAGGGGCAGCAGCACCTGCAGCAGCAGCAGCGACGCGCAACTTCCCGCTCCTCCCCTTTCCTCCTTCCTCGCATGCACACCCGCTCCCTGGACAGACTCATTGGAGCCCCTCCTCCCGCCTCCATTCAGCTCCTTGAGGACTCCCATGAGGAGTTCCTCAACATTCGGCAACACACACCTTTCCTTGCCTCCCTCTACCTTGACTTCCTCGGCTTTCCCGTCCTTGGCGCCACCTCCACCCCAACCATCTTCACTCCCACCACCTTCCAAGAGGCCATCACCTGCCCTGACGCGGACAAATGGATAGCGGCGATCTTCTTGGAGTGTGAGGCATTTATTCGCAACGACTCCTTTGTCGATGTCCCCCTCCCAGCCGGCGCCAACCTCGTCGAGGGCAAATGGGTCTTTCGGGTGAAGCAGCTGCCGGGCGAGGAGCCAAAGGGTTCACGCAGACTTGGGGCAAGGATTTCTGGTTCACCTACGCCCCCACCGCCAAACCACCCACCTTTCGCGCAGCCCTCGACATTGGCGCACGTGACAACATGGAGATATGCTCCATGGACGTCTCCAATGCGTTCCTGCAGGGCGACCTGCACGAGCGCATCTTCCTCAGACGGCCCCCTGGGTTCCATGCTGCCTTTCCAGAGAACACCGTCTGGCAGCTGCGTCGCCCTGTCTATGGCTTGAAGCAGGCGCCAAGGGAGTGGCACGCGAAGCTGTCTGCCACTCTGGGGTCCCTCGGCTTCTCTGCATCCCACTCCGATGCCAGCCTCTTCATTCGCTCCTCCCCTCGCCGCTTCTTCATTCTGGTGTATGTGGACGACATGATCCTCCTTTCTGACTCCAAGGCTGACATGGAGCAGATGAAGATGTCACTGCAGCAGCGTCTCAAATGCAAGGACCTGGGCGACCTCACGCACTACCTGGGCATGACCATCACGCGCGACCTCCCTGCTCGCACCATCACCCTCTCCCAGTCCCACTACATCGGCCAGGTCTTGGAGAAGTTCGAGATGGCGCAGGCCAAGCCCGTGTCCACCCCCCTCCCTTTCGGCCACCAGCTCGCTCCGCCCACTTCTCCCTCCTCCTCCCCTCATCCCTATGCCGAGCTCGTTGGGTCGCTGATGTACGCAATGATGTGCACCCGCCCCGACCTCGCCTACCCCATTAGCGTGCTCGCACGCTTTGTTGGCACCGGTCGTCACACTGAGGAACACTGGAAGGCTGCTAAGCGGGTCCTCCGCTACCTTCGTGGGACCAAGGACCATGTCCTCACCCTTGGCGGCCCCTCCCCTCCTCTCCTTTCGGGCTTCAGTGATTCCTCATGGGCTGACTCGCAGCCGGACCGCCGCTCCTCCCAGGGCTACGGTATTACGCTTGGCAGCGGCCTTATCAGCTGGCGCTCCACCCGCTCCTCTGCCATTTCTCTCTCCACCTGCGAGGCCGAGCTCTACGGTGGCACCATGGCCGCCCAGGAGTCACGGTGGCTCTGTTTTCTTCTTGCCGAACTTGGCGCCCCCCAGCCGTGCCCCACTCTCTGGTGTGACAACGCCAGCACCATCCACCTCACTCAAGATCCCGTCTATCACGCCCGCTCCAAGCACATCGAGCTCCGCTACTTCTTCATCCGTGAGCTCGTCCAGCAATGCCTCATTTCTGTTCGGAAGATTGCGGCGGAGGCCAACTTGGCCGACATCTTCACCAAGGCCCTCCTTCGCCCTGCGCACTCTGCTTTCCTCCGTCTCATTGGCCTTGCTCGCCCGGGCGCCCCTTGATTCAGGGGTTGTTCTCTTCATGTGTTCGCATGCTAAGGGGTTGTGTTAGAATCTATATATTATAGCATGCGAACACTTGTGACTGTACACCAAGAGTGGTGTACAGTTGGGTTGGTTCAGGCTCTAGTTTTGGGTGTACTGCGGGAAGACACCCTAATTGGGGTGAACCCAAATATCCTAGCTTAGACTTGACTCCAACCTTGTTGGCCAAGTGGGGCAACCAACTTTGGTTGGTTGGCCACCATCCCACTAGGGTTGGTTGGATGGTCCTTCCTCCCACTAGCCTACTTGGTCTTGGTGTCTTATGTGCTAGGTTTGGTGTTCCTCTCCAACCTTCTCTTCCTTGTATAACCTTGTGCTCTCTTGAGCTAATGTTAACAATTCTTCCTCAAGTTTCCATAGCTCCTAGTTTCTTTCAGTGTTGTGTGTGTGTGCTGCTTGGAGCCACTGCATAGGGCCATGGGGATTGCATTGCATCTCCCTTCCCATCTCTGCCTTCTCTCCTCTGCCCTCTCTCCGCTGCCCTCTCTCCCCGCAACTCCTGACTCAGAGGCAGCAACGAAAGCCTTCTACCTTCGTCTATTCACCCTCATCGCTCTTCTCAACTCGCTGCTCACACTCCCCCTCTCTTCCGCCCCGTCTCTCCCCGCTCTCCCAGCCCCCGACTCAGAGGCAGCAACCAACGCATTCTACCTGCGGCTATTCACCTTCATCGCTCTCCTCAACTCACTTCTCACGCTCCTCCGCGCCTTCTCCTTCGCGCGTGCCGGCATGACGGCAGCCCACCGCGTGCATCGCGAACTGCTTGCCGCTGTTGTGCGCGCGCCCCTGGCTTTCTTTGATACCAATCCCTCTGGGCGTATTCTCAACCGGTAAATGAGGGTGTGCTAGTGAGACATGTTCCCGCGGGCCGGCATGACGGCAGCCCACCGCGTGCATCACGAACTGCTCGCTGCTGTTGTGCGCGCGCCCCTGGCCTTCTTCGATACCAACCCCTCTGCTAGTGAGACGTCACCATGCGCGCCGGCATGACAGCAGCCCACTGCGGGCGGTGCAGTGTATGAGTGGGCGGTGCAGCGTATGAGCGTGCGGTGCAGCGTATGAGCGTGCGGTGCAGCGTATGAGCGTGCGGTGCAGAGTATGAGCGGGCGGTGCAGCGTATGAGTGGGCGGGGCAGCGTATGACAGGCGGTGCAGCGTGTGAGCGGGCGGTGCAGCGTATGAGCGTGCGGTGCAGCGTATGAGCGTGCGGTGCAGCGTGTGAGCGTGCGGTGCAGCGTATGAGCGGACGGTGCAGCGTATGAGCGTGCGGTGCAGCGTATGAGCGTGCGGTGCAGCGTATGAGCGTGCGGTGCAGCGTATGAGCGGGCGGTGCAGAGTGTGAGCGTGCGGTGCAGCGTATGAGCGGGCGTTGCAGCGTGTGAGCTTGCGGTGCAGCGTATGAGCGGGCGGTGTAGCGATTGAGCGTGCGGTGCAGCGTATGAGCGGGCGGTGCAGCGTATGAGCGGGTGGTGCAGCGTGTGAGCGGGCGGTGCAGCGTATGAGCGTGCGGTGCAGCGTATGAGCGGGCGGTGCAGCGTGTGAGCGTGCGGTGCAGTGTATGAGCGTGCGGTGCAGCGTATGAGCGGGCGGTGCAGCGTATGAGCGTGCGGTGCAGTGTGTGAGCGTGCGGTGCAGCGTGTGAGCGGACGGTGCAGCGTATGAGCGTGCGGTGCAGCGTATGAGCGTGCGGTGCAGCGTATGAGCGTGCGGTGCAGCGTCTGAGCGTGCGGTGCAGCGTATGAGCGGGCGGTGCAGCGTGTGAGCGTGCGGTGCAGCGTATGAGCGGGCGTTGCAGCGTGTGAGCGTGCGGTGCAGCGTATGAGCGGGCGGTGCAGCGATTGAGCGTGTGGTGCAGCGTGTGAGCGGGCGGTGCAGCGTATGAGCGGGCGGTGCAGCGTGTGAGCGGGCGGTGCAGCGTATGAGCGTGCGGTGCAGCGTATGAGCGGGCGGTGCAGCGTGTGAGCGTGCGGTGCAGTGTATGAGCGTGCGGTGCAGCGTATGAGCGGGCGGTGCAGCGTATGAGCGTGCGGTGCAGTGTGTGAGCGTGCGGTGCAGCGTGTGAGCGGACGGTGCAGCGTATGAGCGTGCGGTGCAGCGTATGAGCGTGCGGTGCAGCGTATGAGCGTGCGGTGCAGCGTCTGAGCGTGCGGTGCAGCGTATGAGCGGGCGGTGCAGCGTGTGAGCGTGCGGTGCAGCGTATGAGCGGGCGGTGCAGGGTATGAGCGGGCGGTGCAGCGTATGAGCGAGCGGTGCAGCGATTGAGCGTGCGGTGCAGCGTGTGAGCGGGCGGTGCAGCGTATGAGCGGGCGGTGCAGCGTGTGAGCGGGCGGTGCAGCGTATGAGTGGGCGGTGCAGCGTGTGAGCGGGCGGTGCAGCGTATGAGCGAGCGGTGCAGCTGCTCGCTGCTGTTGTGTGTATGCCCCTGGCATACTTCCATGTCAACCCTTGTGACCGCATCCTCAACCAGTGGGTGGCTCAACGGTGGATGGCTCTTGAGGCATCACCCACCTCTGTCTCAACCACTCCACCCCACCCCACCCCACCCCTCTAACTTCACTCGCATCCCCACCAACCGCACTGCACCAGGTTCTCCTCGGACCTGTACACGGTGGATGACTCGCTGCCGTTCATCGCCAACATCCTCCTCGCCAACTCCTTCAGCCTCGCTGGCATCGCCGCTCTGCTGCTCTACACGCAGGTGGGACTGGCAGGGGCTGCTTTGCACTCAGAAATGTGGTGAGAGTACAGGTGAGTGTGCAGGTGATGGCGTGGCAACGCGTTCGCTGCCGTTCATCGCGAACTCCTTCACCCTCGCTGGCATCGCTGCTCTGCTCCTGCACACGCAGGTGAGACAGGATGGGCTGCTGCGCGTGTGCACGCAGGTTTGACGCTCAACACACTGAAGCTACTGTTCAGGTGCGCTTCACTGTGCTCACACGAGCTTGGAGCCTCTAGTGCCTACTCGCAACAGTGTTCCACTTTGGGCCGAGCCTTCTCGACTGCCATTTCCGTCCTCTTCTCTCTCATCACACCTTCCCATATCCACTCGTGTAACTCGTACCTTCGTTCTACCTCCCCCCTCCCCTTTTTCCACCTGCAGTGGACGTTTCTGCTTCTCCTGCTGCCTCTCACCTACATGTACTCTATCATTCAGGCAAGCCCCTTGCATTCGTCCACTCTATCCTTTTCAGTCGTCCTTTCTTCAACCTCAGCATTCTATTCGCTCCTCATTGGTCATCCCTCATTTGTCCACCTGCACCCTAAAGATCATCCTTCCTGGTCGCTCTCCTCCTTACCATTCTCCTCGCCTGTTATCCCTCCCCACTCATACCTCCTCGCAGCATCTCTACCGCCAGTCATCAAGGGAGCTGCGGCGGCTGGACAGTGCAGCGCGCTCGCCTGTGTACGCTGCATTCTCGCAGCTGCTGCACGGCGCCCCCACCATCCGCGCCTTCCATGCCCAGGTGGGTTCTGTGAGTTCCACGCCCAGGTGTCAAAACCAGTGCAGCGCGCTCCCCCTGGATTAACGACGACCCCCCTGGATTAACTTAGACCCCCCTGGATTAACTTAGACCCCCCTGGATTAACTTAGACCCCCCTGGATTAACTTAGACCCCCCCGGATTAACTTAGACCCCCCTGGATTAACTTAGACCCCCCTGGATTAACATAGACCCCCCTGGATTAACTTAGACCCCCCTAGATTAACTTAGACCCCCCCGGATTAACTTAGACCCCCCCGGATTAACTTAGACCCCCCTGGATTAACTTAGACCCCCCCGGATTAACTTAGACCCCCCCGGATTAACTTAGACCCCCCTGGATTAACTTAGACCCCCCCGGATTAACTTAGACCCCCCTGGATTAACTTAGACCCCCCCGGATTAACTTAGACCCCCCCGGATTAACTTAGACCCCCCTGGATTAACTTAGACCCCCCTGGATTAACTTAGACCCCCCTAGATTAACTTAGACCCCCCCGGATTAACTTAGACCCCCCCGGATTAACTTCGACCTCCCTGGATTAACTTAGACCCCCCCGGATTAACTTAGACCCCCGTGGATTAACTTAGACCCCCCGGGATTAACTTAGACCCCCCCTGGATTAACTTAGACCCCCCTGGATTAACTTAGACCCTCCTGGATTAACTTAGACCCCCCTGGATTAACTTAGACCCCCCCGGATTAACTTAGACCCCCCCGGATTAACTTAGACCCCCCCCAGATTAACTTAGACCCCCATGGATTAACTTAGACCCCCATGGATTAACTTAGACCCCCCTGGATTAAGTTAAACCCCCCTGGATTAACTTAGACCCCCCTGGATTAACTTAGAACCCCCCGGGATTAACTTAGACCCCCCGGGATTAACTTAGACCCCCCGGGATTAACTTAGACCCCCCTGGATTAACGTAGACCCTCCTGGATTAACTTAGACCCCCCCGGGATTAACTTAGACCCCCCGGGATTAACTTAGACCCCCCAGGATTAACTTAGACCCCCCTGGATTAACGTAGACCCCCCTGGATTAACTTAGACCCCCCTGGATTAACTTAGACCCCCCCGGATTAACTTAGACCCCCTCGGATCAACTTAGACGCCCCTGGATTAACTTAGCCCCCCCGGATTAACTTAAACCCCCCCGGATTAACTTAGACCCCCCTGGATTAACTTAGACCCCCCCGGATTAACTTAAACCCCCCCGGATTAACTTAGACCCCCCGGGATTAACTTAGACCCCCCTGGATTAACTTAGACCCCAGACCCCCCCGGATTAACTTAGACCCCCCCGGATTAACTTAGACCCCCCTGGATTAACTTAGACCCTCCCAGATTAACTTAGACCCCCCTGGATTAACTTAGACCCCCCTGGATTAACTTAGACCCCCCTGGATTAACTTAGACCCCCCTGGATTAACTTAGACCCCCCCGGGATTAACTTACACCCCCCGGGATTAACTTAGACCCCCCGGGATTAACTTAGACCCCCCTGGATTAACGTAGACCCCCCTGGATTAACTTAGACCCCCCTAGATTAACTTAGACCCCCCCGGATTAACTTAGACCCCCCCGGATTAACTTAGACCCCCCTGGATTAACTTAGACCCCCCCGGATTAACTTAAACCCCCCCGGATTAACTTAGACCCCCCTGGATTAACTTAGACCCCCCCGGATTAACTTAAACCCCCCCGGATTAACTTAGACCCCCCGGGATTAACTTAGACCCCCCTGGATTAACTTAGACCCCCCTAGATTAACTTAGACCCCCCCGGATTAACTTAGACCCCCCGGGATTAACTTGTCAGATTACCATCCTCTTTGTAACCCACATCAATCCTATAAGCGTAGGATAGAGATAGCCACCCAAACTCAGTTTGGGTGTAGAACTAGGGCTAACCCTAGTTGGGGGTTGGAACTCAATCCTTGGTCCCCAAGGTTGGGTTGGGAATTATTGGTCCCCCCAATAATGTTGAACCACTTGGTCAACATTATTGGTCCCCCCAATAATCCCTCAACCCAACTTATTGGAGGGGGCCAATAATGTTGGCTTGGTTCCAACCAACCCCCCCCCCTTTAGCACAACTATGTTTACCCCCATCTCTCCTAATGAAATTATTGGTTCTTCCTCAAATATTCTCACATGGTAATCAGAGCTACAACGGTTAACACCGTCTCTCGATCCTAAGGACCACACCTAACGCGTGCCGTATCACGCCCCCCTCCCTCACGAACACTAAGTCGCTCATCGCGCCTAGTACGCTCCTACGCCGTCACGGTCCCCCTCCTCTCGCGCTAATTCCAGCTCCCCCCTCCCCACGGCCCTCCCCTCCCCCCTCTCTCACGAACGCGTCGACCGTCGGGACAGCCACATCGACCGTCGGAACGGCCAGCGCGACCGTCGGAGCGGCCACCGTGACCTAAAATCGCGGACAGGAGCATCCGCCACGACGAACGCGGACGGACGCATCCGCCACGACGAACGCGGACGGACGCATCCGCCACGACGAACGCGGACGGACGCATCCGCCACGACGAACGCGGACGGACGCATCCGCCACGACGAACGCGGACGGACGCATCCGCCACGACGAACGCGGACGGACGCATCCGCCACGACGAACGCGGACGGACGGATCCGCCACGGCGAACGCGGACGGGCGCATCCGCCACGACGAACGCGGACGGACGGATCCGCCACGACGAACGCGGACGGACGCATCCGCCACGGCGAACGAGGACGGGCGCATCCGCCACGGCGAACGCGGACGGGCGCATCCGCCACGTGAGCCGCGGACGGGCGCACGCGCCACGACAGCCGCGGACGGGCGCACGCGCCACGACAGCCGCGGACGGGCGCACGCGCCACGACAGCCGCGGACGGGCGCACGCGCTACGACAGCCGCGGACGGGCGCACTCGCCACGACAGCCGCGGACAGGCGCACGCGCCACGACAGCCGCGGACGGGCGCACGCGCCACGACAGCCGCGGACGGGCGCACGCGCCACGACAGCCGCGGACGGGCGCACGCGCCACGACAGCCGCGGACGGGCGCACGCGCTACGACAGCCGCGGACGGGCGCACTCGCCACGACAGCCGCGGACGGGCGCACGCGCCACGACAGCCGCGGACGGGCGCACGCGCCACGACAGCCGCGGACGGGCGCACGCGCCACGACAGCCGCGGACGGGCGCACGCGCCACGACAGCCGCGGACGGGCGCACGCGCCACGACAGCCGCGGACGGGCGCATCCGCCACGACGAACACGAGCGCTCGTCGTGACCTAAACCGCCGCGATAAGGGCGGACAGCGCTGCCGCGGGCGACACGGTGCAGCCACGGGCGCCAAGGCGCAGCCGCGGGCGGACGGCGCAGCTGCGGGCGACAAAGCGCAGTCACACGTGACGAAGCGCAGCCGCGGGTACTACGGTGCAGCCGCGCGCAACGTGACCACACCACCCCTCCAGGTGGTGTCGTCCCTCCCCCCTCTTTGACCGCACCCGCCCTCAAGCCGGTGTCGTCACCCCCTCCCCCCCCTCCTCCCCCCTCATGGCAGACGACTCGACTCCCATTGAGCTCGGAGCTATCGACAAGCTCGAGCTCCTGCATGACACGACGGCTGTGAATTGGGCGTCATTTGAGGATACCCTTCACACCCACCTTGGCTCTGTCATCATCCAAGACTATTGTCTGCTTGACATAGTCCTTGAACCCTCTAACGGCCTTCCACCCGTTCTCCCTCCTCCTCTTGATCCCCCTCCCCCCGACGCCCCTCCACTTCCATAACCTATTGACCCCCCTCCCAATCCTCCAGTTCATGATGATCACCCGGATCGCTGGGCGGCCAACTTGAACAACTACAATAAGCTACGTGACACCTACACCATCCAGCGTGAAGCATACCGTGTTGCTGAGGAAGCACATGCTGTCGCCGCTGCACGTATCCTCCAGTACGAAAAAGATGAGAGGGATCATGCTGAGGAGCTACGCAAACTTCACAAGGATGTCGCAGCATGGCGTGTTGCGGATCGCTGCGCCCTCGCCATCATCTTCTCCTGCATCCCCTCACACCTCAAACGAGACCTCCGTCCCACCTCCTCCTCTGGCCTCTGGAAAACCCTCTCTACTCAGTACGATCGACAGGATCTTCGCTCCCTCCTTGCCCTCTTTCGCAAGTTCCAAGACACCACCCTTGACTCCTCTCCCACTGCTGCTGCCTACACCCGCCGCCTCATTGATACTGCACAACGCCTCAATGATCGAGGCATTGTCATCTCTGAGTCTCTCCTCACTGCACGCATTCTCGACTGCCTCCCCCCCATATATGACACATACCGCATCACCTTCACCTCCCGTTACCGCCACCCTCCTCCTGTGACTGACACCATCGAGTGGCTTCTTGACAGCGAAGCCGACCTTCAACGTGACTCCACCGCTATCAATACAGTTCAGACTCGCAAAGCCCCCACAGGCAACCAGAACAGCGGCGGAGGTGGTGGCCATGGCGGTCCTGGCAGTGGTGGAGGAGTACGTGGTGGAGGACGAGGAGGAGGACGCAGTGGTGGACGCGGTGGTGGCCGTGGCGGACGTGGCGGATACGCCTCACCTTCAGGCACCCTTCCCCCGTGTCAGTACATCATCTGCTACGGCTCCAACAAAGGTCAGCCATGCTCTCAGACCACTCATACCACTGACACGTGCTTCAAAGCCCTCACTGACGAGTGGTTCGCACGTGGCAACGTTGGCACTCCACCTCGCTGGAACACTGTCTTCCCACGCCCCTCTCTCCATGACGTTCGCACTCTCCCCGCCTATCAACCCTCTACTCCTAACCTCCACAATGTCCTCACTCAGCATCTCCCATCTCACATCCTTCAGCAAGTTCAGCATTTTCTCCCCTCAACCACCCCCACTCCCACTCCTCCTCCACCCACACCTCCGCCTCAAGCCCCTCCCACTCACTATCCCCCACCCTATGCTGGCTGGTCTTACCCTCCCTATGCTGGATATGGCTATGGACCCCCGGCATCTGCTGCTAATGCTGCTGAACAACCCTCCTCCAACAACCCTCCTGGCTTTACGCCGTTCCCCTCTGCTGGATTCATAGGACATATTAGCACTGCTCCTGCTGATTCTCTGTATGCCCATGCTATTAATGAGTCCCTCTTCCAGTATTCCGCATTTTCCTCCTCCTCCGCATGCCTTGAGTTTATCCTTGACAGTGGAGCTACACACACGGTCCTTCGGGATGCAGGCACACTTGTCACAGAATCTATTGGTAAGAACAATATATTCAGTTACGTACGCTAGTATGGTGTAGAGTGGTGTACAAGTGGGTTATGTAACATTGCCAGGGGGTTGTTAGGGTCTAGGGGAGTAACGCGAAGTTGGTAGCAGTGGGAATTGCGAAGTGCAGTAAGAGGAGCTCAGGGAGCCTCGAGGGACAGGAAATCGGCATTGGCCAATCCAAGGCCTCGGCGACTCGAACCTAACCCAGTCTGTCGAGCAAATCACGACTTGGGAAGGACAATAAGTAGCCTAGCCTAGCACAGACAAATCCGTTCTCTCGTTTGTTTGCCTACTATAGTGGATTTACTTCACCGTTCTAAGGCTATAAGCAGCTAGGTGATACGCCACTGAGGGCAGCCAGCTTGTGGGAGCCAGCTTTTGGTACTGGCTGAGGACAAGGGGAGGGATTAAGAACAGGAAAGGGGCATGAATGAAGGTAAGAAGAGAAGAGAGCAGAGACATGAGGGAAGGAAGCAGGAGGAGGAACACTGGTTTCCGACACACTGGTACCTCTCCCCACTCCCTCCACTATTCATGGAGCTGACTCCAGCTTCACCATCACAAGTCGACACACCTCCACCCTCCCCTGTCCCATCTTCCCCTCAGGCACAGTCACCGGTCTATACATACCCTCCCTACGCAACAATCTGGTAGCACTTTGTGACCTCACCAGGCTCGGTATCACCGCCCTCTTCCCTGGTCATGCACGTCACTGCGACCTCTTTCTCACCTCCACTGGCCGCTTCATCTGTCGCATTCCCCTCTGCCCTCACACAAACATGTACACGTACCGCACCCCTCGCACCTCCATTCACAACCTCATCGCCCCCACCTCACCCCTCCCCCTCCCCTCACCTCCCCTCCCCCTTCCCTCCCCTCCTCCCATCCCCACCTCACCCCTCCCCCTCCCCTCACCTCCCCTCCCCCCTCCCTCCCCTCCTCCCATCCCCTCCCCCCCCCCTCCCCTCCCCTCCTTCCCCCCCCCCCCCCTTCCCCCCCCCCCCTCCTGTCACTGTCGTGACCTCACCCACCCCACAGTTCTCCTTCACCATAGGTTGGGTCATCCCAACTTTGCCACCCTCCGTCAAACTGTCTCCACCCAACTCCTCGACGGACTCCCCCTCACCCTTCCCCCTCTCCCCCCATCACCCTCCCCTCCCTGCTCAGTATGCGTTGAAAGCAAACTGAAACAGGCCCCCCACAAGAGTCATCCCTCCTTTTCTCCCCAACCTCTTGATCTCGTCCACATAGACCTCTGGGGCCCCAACCCTTCCCCCACCAGGCAAGGTCATAAATACTTGCTCATCCTCGTGGATGACCACAGCCGGTACTCCTCCGTCTCCCTCCTTCGCATGAAGGCGGAGGCCCCGGCTGCTATTATTGCCTGGGCTGAACAAGCACGCACCCATTTCAAACGCCCTGTCTCCCGCTTCCACTCTGATGGCGGTGGTGAGTTCCTTAACAACATGCTCTCATCCTACTGCACCACTCGTGGCATTATTCACACCTACACCCTACCTCATTCCCCTCAGCAGAATGGCGTGGCGGAAAGCAGGGTCCGCGTGGTCACCAAGACTGCTCGGTGCCTCATGGTCCATGCCTCCTGCCCGCCCTCTCTCTGGGGCTATGCCATCCTCCACGCTGCCATCTTCACTAACTTGTACCCTCATCCCTCCCGGCCCACCACCACTCCCACTGCACTCTGGACATCCAAAAAGCCCGACATCACCCTCCTGCGCGTGTGGGGTTCCATGGCGTATGTTCTCATACACCCTGTCGACCGCTCACGCAAAGCTGGGAAGCTAGCCTCCCGCACTCTCCCCTGCATTTTCCTTGGTCACAACACCTCCTCCCCGGACTATCTCTTCCTCCATCCCCCCTCAGGTCGCCTCATTCGTAGTCGGGATGTGGAATTCGATGAAACCCACCCGTACTACACCTCCCCCAAAGTCCCTAACCCCCTCCCTCTAACCACCCGTCCCTTCCTCTGGACTGACACCATTCCCCCCCCACCCCCTCTCCCCTCCCCTTCCCTTCTCCCCCCACCCACAATTGTCCCCCCTGCACCCCCACCCCCTCCCCACTCTCCCCCCGCCTCATCAGGAGACATCCTTGACCCCGTCCACCCTCCCTCCCCACCCGCTGCCTCTCCCCCTCCCTCCCCACCCGCTGCCCCTCCCCATCCCTCCCCAGCCCCTCCCCCTCCTTCCCCTCCCTCCCTCCATGCACAACATCCCTCACCCCCCCCCCCTCCCCACGCCCTCCCTCACTCACCCCACCTCCATCCTCCCGGCCCCTACTTCCCACTCCCCCTCTCATACTCCGCCACTACCCTCACACCCGCTCCACGGTCCCCATTCTTGGTACCCCAAGGTCCACTCCCCCCTCCCTCCAGTCTCTCACATCCGTCCCCCTTCTCCGCCACCATAGCACCTCCCCTCCCCCCCGCACCAGCACCTCAGGTTCTCTCGGCAGTCGCGCTCCCGTCTCCCTGCCCCTCACGGCAACTCAGCGAAGCCGAACTGCAATGCAGCTGTCTCCCCGCCCCGACCCTCAGCGCAGCAGAGCACCAGTGCAGCTGTGTCCCCGCATCGGCCCGACCCTCCAGCGCAGCTGTCTTGCAACTCCACCGCCTCCTCTTCCTCCTCCTCTCACTCCGGACCTCTCTGAAGACTCTCATGATGAGCTTCTTTTTCTCCACCTCCTCTCACCCACCATCGCTCGCGTCGTCCGCACAATGGCTGGCACTACTGTTCTTCTCTTCTCCACCACCCCCACCATCTACGAACCCACCACCTATGAGCAAGCACTTTCCTGTCTTGATGCACCTCTCTGGATCGAGGCCATGGTCAAGGAGAGCAACGCCTTCATCAGCAACCGCTCGTTTCTCGACGTTCCTCGTCCCTCTAAGCACAACGTGGTCAAAGGCAGGTGGCGTTTCCGAGTTAAACTACTCCTTGCGACGCTCCGGTCTACAAGGCTCGATATGTGGCAAAAAGCTTCACACAGACCTATGGCTCCGACTTTTTCGAGACCTACTCACCCACCGCCACTCCACCGGTCATTCGCGTGTTTTTGGACTTTGTTGGCAGACGCGGGATGATTCTTCACTCCATGGACGTCACCACCGCCTTTCTGCAAGGCGACCTTCATGAGCTCATTTTCCTGGAACGTCCCAAAGGCTTCCACGCTCCTCACGACCCTACCACTGTTTGGAAGCTGCTACGCCCTGTCTATGGGCTCAAACAAGCACCTCGGGAATGGCACGCCAAACTCTCCTCCACCCTTCGCGCACTTGGCTTTCGCCCCTCCCGTGCCGCCTCCTGCCTCTTCCTGCGCCTCACCCCATCACCCTTCTTCATCCTCGTCTACGTCGACGACATGCTGCTGGCCGCAGACACAGCTGCTGAACTCCAGGAGGTCAAGGATGAGCTGCAGAAACGCCTTGCCTGCAAAGACCTGGGGGAGGTTCGCAACTACCTCGGCATGGAGATC